CGTCGGTGTATGAGGATGTATGGCATGATGCGGCCGAACAGAAAAGGGAATATCAAGGATATGAAGGAGCAATTGTGCCTCATGTGGTTGAGTTCGCCGAAAGCAAACCCAAAGAGGGCTTGGTGATCCAATTCCTCGACCACGATGGAGGGTTGGTCCATACCTACAAGAACCCTTACAGCCGATGGAAATACCGTATCAGTATCACCATCAAAGATGCTCCAAAGGCAGTGACGGTGTGGACATTGGTAGGAGTCGACGAGGAGAACTGGTGGAATGAGTATGCTCCTGGCAAGGACTGCATTGCGCAACATGCTCCCGATTCTCACTATGACCCTGGGTTGCAAGTGAATGTTCTGAGTATGGGGCGAGAAGTTGATGACGCCATGTGTGCCTACCTCTTCGATGTGGTGGAAGCAAGGAAAGACAACCCTAACTCCGTGATCTTCATCGGGGCAGGGGTGTTAGGCAAGAATTCGTGGCTGAGTCGGAAAATCGCCGACAACCCTGAAAGGGCCAAATTGCGGACGGATTACCCATGGGGGGAGGTCGTCCAAAGAATTGCACGCAGAGCGGCATCGTGGGGGAACCAAGTCATCATTGAGGTGCCTCCTCGCGTACAAGTTCAGGAAACCAAGCAGTACAAGGGACTCCAGGAAGACGCCGTGTGGAAGAGCATCAAGATTCAAGGATGTACTCACGGGCAACGTTATATCTTTCGAGATCCTGTATCTCCCGGAACCGCCGTCGAACTCGGCTACTGCAAGGATGAATGGGAGTACCTTGCCGCAAATGTCGCGTTGCATCCTAAGTCGTCTGACATGTGCTCGTCCAAACATTTGCACATGACTGTTTTGGACGCCAAGGATCGATCTGATAAGTGCGAGTTAACCAGCCAAATTTCCAGGAGATTGCTTAAGGCCTTGAAATTTAAGGCAACGGGCGATGGGAAATTGGTAGCAATGCCGTCGAAGGCCGGAGGACGAAAGCCTGACCGCATGATTGTTGACCTCTGTGGCATGGGCAATGGCTACGCCGTGTCCAAGTCCACTAAGGGATGCGCTCGCATTACATGTAAAGAGCTGATTGGCTCCAAGGCCGATGAGGATAGCCTTGTCGGTGCAATGAAGGAATCGTGCCGGAATGACCTGCGCACACCTGTGCTATTTGTGGCATCGCTTTTGCGATCAGGCGCTGGTCCTGGAGGTAGCGAAGGGGCTTGCGTGGGGGGTGAGAAACGTTCCGGTGGGAAGTACAAAGTTTTCAGGAGTGTCTTGAAATCTCTCAAACGCCTGCTGAAGAAGTGTGCGGAATTTTCCGACGTCTATTTTTCGCTTGACATGCCTTCTTCATGTTCATGTTGGTCTTGGCCAGAGTTGCATGCTCTTGTTTCAAGTGGCAAGGTGACGAAGGTTAAGATTGGTGACCATGTTGATGCTGGTGGCGATGGTGGTGGACGCAGGATCATGTTCTCTAACATGCCTGAGGCGGATCGTTTGGTGATGAAAATGAATGATTGCTTGGACCATGAAGCGGAGAACAGTCTGTCGCAGTGCATTGATGTGTCCTGGCGGTCGATTGCGAGGAATGTTCGCAGCCTTGTTCGAGCTCATGCTAGTGTCAGTCATGTTGCACATGAATCTGAGGACATTGCATGGCAGCAACGTCAGTGTGTAGACGCTGATGGAGGGGCTATTAGACAGCCCCGACTAAGGAACAACTAAGGTCTGACCCGACGGATCGGGGAAGGGTGTCTCTTACAGAGTACCCGGAACCGTGAAGTCGTATAGGGGTAGGTACTTCTCTCCCACGGAGGAACGACCGGTTCCCGAGCCATGGAAGAAAGCTACAATGCCTATGAACTGTCCTTCGAAGGAGTGGCCATGAAGAAGTTTTCCCTCCTGGTGGGATGATGCGGACGTTCATGAAGTTCCACACGTTTCTGCAGATGTACTCTGAGGATTCGTCGCAGAGCGTTTCGCTCCCGCCAAAGATTACGAAAGACAAAGTGGTCGACAATGATCTCATCCGCACATGGGCAGCATTCAAAGCACCTCCGCTGGTCTTGCTGTTCACGTGCGCAAATCTGTCGTCAGGAGGGGACCTTTCCATTCGAGTTCGAGAAATCCTCAAGGCTTGCTTATTTGCCGCCCCGGAGGAGTATATGAACAAACCTTATGGGGAGATCCTCGCCATGGTCATCAAGTTTGGTGGAGGCCTCAAGCACGTTGTCGCTGATTACGGAGGGAAGTTCCACGCCATCACAAGGTTTATGGTGGATGAGGAAGTGATCCGTGATGATGCAAAGCTGGCTGTGGTTGAACTGGAACAAGAAAGAAAACAAGTTCGGTTCGACTTGAACACCGCGACCAGGAATATCGTCAATGCGGACGTCTACTACAATCTCGCCGTCCTCATCAACTCCGTGGAGACGCCTTACCAGGCCGTGACGGACACAAGAATTCAACAGTGGTATACGGTGAACCAGGACTACTACCACAAGTTGCCTATGTCAGGCAGAGCACCCGACCAATCCGACTTGTTGGGAGAGCCTACGTTATGTAGGGTGTGCAAGCTGATGTACATGTTCGCAAAGCATACTGGGTATGGGCTTCGAACCTACAACCAGGAATGTGCAGCGAGCAGCGACGGCGCCGCGCCGATCAATGTCCACCAGCTGGCTTTGATGATGCGCACAATGCCTTAGGGCATGGGACACCCGCTCGCCTTTGCGATGAATTCGCTCCAGGCGTTCAGCATTTGTCTCTACGTGCTTCATTCCTATGTATCGTGGGTAGATCCAGACAGTGGAATCCCGCACTACCGATGGACTAACGACGTGCTCCCCGATTCCGACTATACCACGTATGCTTTCCTCAAGCACCATGTGGAGGCCGTATGTGCAGCTCAAGACAAGAACGGTTTCCAGTTGCCGGAGACGTTCCGTGGCTACGCCTGGAACCAATGCGGAGTCGAATCTGGATACGTGGCTGACTGCTCCACCAAACGCGCCACCTTGGGCATATGGGAAGCTGAGTTCCAACAGATGAGAGCACCGAGTCCGCTGATGCAAGATGATGGCCTATTTCCGCCCAACCTCCAACGGCATCCTAACTGGGTCTACTCATCGGGGAGAGTTGCGATGCCTACGGCAAGCAATCTCGAACCGGAAGGAATCGTGCACCCTGAACATGGAAGAACGCCGGAGCAACCGCGGGACTCTGCCGCCGGACCTCGAGCCACCCCTAGCCACGGACCAAAGAGGGCAAGGACGGACGAGGCAACGGCGTCGGCATCGTCATCTTCTGCAGCACCTCCTCCACAACAACAATCTCCACAACCGGAAGAGGAACCAACGCAACCGACATGGGAGGAAGCTCCGATCCCTGCTGGCGCTCAGGAAAGCTGGTATCACTATGTCAACATCATTGAAAAGGGCTGTCGCTCTGCTTTTCTGGCGACGATCCGTGATCGCGACGAGTACCCGCCTACCATTGACGAGACGCCAAAGTTTGTGGCCAACCACGACGTGGGGACCACGCCTATTCAGCATTACGTCAGAAGACTGGTGACCTATTTGGCAAGGATTCGTTCCGTTTCCCAAAGTGATGACAAAGGTCTCAATCTGAAGGTCTACGTGAAGCTGAGTACAAAGGCGTGGCTTCGGATGTACTCACGGCTATACCATGCGCTGGCATTGGTGTCATGCGTGCATCTTCCTTCTCCTCCAATGCTCACCTCGGCAGTGATGATCGAGGCAGATCGCGACCTTGTCGAGAGCGAATCCGTTCCGGAAGAGGCAAGAGTTAACACCATGAACACGCTGAATGGATTTCGCAATAGTTTGGGTATGGGTGGCAAACCCGATGCCGTGACTGTGACTATGCGCTCTCAGTGCACGATCCTAGTTCAGGACTTTGACATCATTGCGAGGACCAGGGGATCAACGCACACGCTGAGAGAAAACCTCAGCATGCATGGGTGGAGCGAGACTCACATCGTGAGCCCGTCGATCACCACAGGTGCCAACTACAACTTCCAAGTTACAAAAGGATCGTTGGAATCTGTGAATGTCACATTGGACGGCTTGTCCGAAGAGCAACTTGCAACCGTCACATTGCATTACCATCTGTCTCTCCAAGCGATCCTCATCGAGAATATGTCCTTTCCGATGAGTGACGTCGGTGACGGAGCGGCAATCCGTGTCAGATTGCAGCAACAGCTCAAGGAGACGTACGTTGACCCTATCATCGCAGCAGGGAAGCGTACCACGCGCCCTCCAATTGTCAACATCAACCACCACCTACGGTTCGTTGGAGCAGCTAGCAACTACCTTCATCACAAGGCTTCTCTGTTCAACGGTTTCCACGCGCTGGGAATGTACATTGAACTGGAGTTGCGGGCCCGAGCATGCGTGGTGATTCATGGATCTTCGTTTTGGTCGAGAATGTACAGCCAGATGAAGCATTCGTCGTCAGGCGTGCATTCGCCGTCAGCCGAGAAGCTGCCGGCGCCGGACTCTCGGGTCAGGTTCAAATTGGGCTACGCTATATATGAGAAGCAACTGTTCAGCGAGAAGATGGTATCAGCATGCTTCGTCGAGGCATCGAGAATCCGCTCATGGGATGAAAGTGTCCGCATTGACACAGTTGCTCACCCGTCGCTTGTCGAGATCTGGGAGGACAAGAGTGAAGTCACAACGTCCACGAGGATTTCTGTTCGTTTGTAACCTAGTGCACGTAGTCCCAAGTAGAGTGTGTAAAGTAATCACGAGAACACATGAAACATGTGTGTGAACCGCAACACGGAGGCTTAAGCAAGTCAGCCCGCGAAGTGAGAAAAGTGTGTTTGTGAGTAGAGTGGGAAGGAAGGCTTGAGAAGCCTTTAGTTTCAACATGGTAGCGGAGCTCCCTGATTCAGACCTCTTGGGAGCGATGAAGCTATCACAGGAACAACAGGTAGCTGTCGCCATGGTTTCCTTGGCTTTGGCTTTTTCGCTGATGTGTCTGGCGAGAAGCTTTGTGAAAGAACTTGTGAGAAAGGAGACGGTGGAGCGCGTAGCTCCAGCTGAGGAACAGGTGCCAGAACTCTGGTACTCACCTTACGGAGATAAGACCCACACCTCAGGAAGATGTCATGGCCTCAGGAACGCAACCAGCGTACACCGAGTACTACCATGCAAGTACTGCTGTCCCGGCGGACTCCGATCCCGGGAACAACGCACCTTCGAGTACAAGAGAACCTTTTTGGAAGCAGCAGGAAAGTACCTTTGGCTAAAAGTCTTCATGGTTGTGGTTCTCATGGGCATGTCATGGTTCATGGTGTTTGAAGTGAACGAGACCTACGGCTACCCGTTGGCCACGAACCGCATGCTGAACTACAGGAACAAGGTCCTCAGCCTCGATAACAAGAACCCCAAGAGAAGCATGTGATAAAGGAGATTACCCCAGCGGATGTTGTACCTGCCGGGATGAGCCAAGAAGGTGATCACACAGAGCTTTTCACGTTGTGGTCGCATGTACATGAGCCCAATACCAAACCGAGAACGAGAACGAGATCAACGTCACGAGCTACCTCAAGAAGACGAACGCGTACTCCGAGTTCTACAAGAACAGAAGAAAAAGAACAAAGTTGCAACTACAGTTTTCATGATGGTGATGTCACGGAGTATAACGAGAACCTAAAGAACGAAGAAGTGCCCCACGTGAACTACTACAAGAACCTTGTGTTTGAGTTGGTTTTGGAGTTTCAAGAGTACCTTGCGAAAGCAGGAAGAAGCCTTGAGCCCGTCGTGAGCTACGTCGTGCGCACGTGTCACCCAGTACTACTTCTACTTGGGACCCCGCTCGGTATGGTCACTTGGATCTACCTCTATTTTTGGGTCAGAGTTAAGCAAACAAAAAGAGAACAGTTGAAGAGGAAGTTTTCGAGAAGGAAGTTGCACAGGTCAGTTTGCAGCGTTCTTTTCAGGAAGCGAGTCTGGTTGCATGTTGTGTTGCTTTACAGTCACATGCAGAGTGCAGTTGCAATGGAGGAAGCCCTGCAAAGGCTTACGGACCTCACTGCCCAAAACACACAACAGATACAAGCACTTGCCCAAGCAATGAACAGTCAGCAAGCGCAGGCAGGTACCGCTTCACAACAACTACAAGAGCTCGCGCAGTCAGTTTCACAACAGCAGAGAGCAATTACAGAAGCAACCCAAGCAACCAACACAGCACTGTCACAACAAGCAGAGCTTACAGCAAACGCGGTTGCAGCAACAGGAAAGCTTACAGCAGACGCAGTCACAGCACTGTCGCAGCATGCAGAGTCAAGAAGGCCAGGAGAGATCGACCTCCACAAGATGATCAAATCTCCAGAAGTATTTGGCCCTACTACGTACAAAGAAGAACGTGATGGTTTTCTAGAGTTTCGATTGAAGCTGAGAAGTTGGATAGGCGCTCTCAATAACGACATCCTTGAGAAGATCAACGCAGTCGAGATGGACAGAAGAGAAGCATCATGGGAATGGAGCAAACTTAACTCAGGTGAACAAGCACTTTCAAGAAAGCTACACTCCATTCTTACCAGCTACACACGTGGCCGTCCTCTACGAACTCTAAAGCAAGTACCCAATGAGAACGGTTTCGAAGCATGGAGGTTGTTGGTGGAGGAGCATCAGCCTCACAATCGTGCACGTTCTCTACAACTACTTAACGGAGTTCTTCACTACAGGTTCGACAAGCAAAGGTCAACACAAGAAAATATCTTGAAGTTTGAGGAGTTGATTGAAGAGTACGAGAGAGCGAGTGGAGACCTTGTTGCGGATGATATGAAGATTTCTATCATTCTTGGAGGAACTGAAGGGAACATGAGACAACATCTTCTACTCAGCCAGAAAGAGACCACAAGATATGGAACGCTACGACAGTACCTCCTCTCCTACGAGCAAGCAGCAAGGTGGACTACCACAGACCTCATCAACTCAGGAAAGGACCACCAAGGACAAGCAGACATGGACGTTTCACGAGTTGAATGGTGGAAAGGCAAAGGAAAGGACAAAGGGAAAGGAAAGAAAGGAAAAGGATTCGGCAAGTCCAAAGGCAAAGGCTACAACAAAGGAAAAGGAAAAGGAGAAAGCCAGTACTACTACAAAGGCCGAGGAAAAGGAAAAGGACGAGGAAAAGGAAAAGGAAAAGGCAGAGGCCGAGGATATGGCAAAGGCGGGGGAAAAGGATACAGCAACAAAGGAAAAGGCAAAGGCTACAACAACCCAGGAGTTGGTGTTTGCCACTACTGCCAGAAACCTGGACACTACGAAGCCAATTGCAGACTCAAGCAGAGAGACATGCAGCAGAACGTCAGGAACGCACAGGAGGAAGACGAGCAAAGCGTCAGGACACAACCGACTACAGTTCCAAGCAGTAGCGCTTCAGCAGCCACAACAAGAACTACAAGCGCGAAGTCTACAGCTAAGCCAACAGTTCGGCAGATCGCGATGTACCACATGGACGACGATCCCGTCACGTACCCTGAAGTTTTCGAACTTGATGAAGACGAAGAAGAGCTCGAGATTGAATACTTTGGAAGAGTTTTGAGAGTGACGGAAGCTGAAGAGTTTGTTTTGTCAGAAGGAGAAGAGAGCGAAGAAGAACAAGAAGATCCTCTACTGAACTGGTACCTTGGACGTGAAGCACTACCACCCCAAGAAGTTCTCTCAGTGCGCGTTGTAGAGGAAGAGTTTTTCCAGGAAAGTGATCTACACCAAAGAATCGAAGTTATCCTGGACTCTGGCGCAGACGTTTCTCTTGTGCCCTCTTGGCTAGGAAAGGAAGGAACCCCTTTGAAGGTTCGCCCTTCGTCCATTCAGGACGCACAAGGAAAGGCAATAAAGACGGAAGGCAGAAGGATGCTGAACTTAACGTTCTTTGGCGACAATGGAAGCTTTTGTCGCATCCAGGAAGCCTTCACCGTTGCCTCGGTGATCAACCCGCTGATGGCCATAGGCAAGCTGTTTCGAGAAGGTTGGGAGTTGCGAGTCAACGAAGAAGAAGGTATGTGTCTTACAGATGGAAACTCAAGAATACCAGTGCATCTCCACAAGAACAGCTTGGCAGCCTACGCCTACGTACAAACTCCTTCAAGAAGCAGAGGTTACAGCAGCAACAACTACAAGATGGTTCGCACTGTTGTCCAACTCAACAAGCATGTTCAGGAAGCAGTGAACAAAGAAGAACCTGGTTGGCACAACACTGACAGCATGGTGATCGTGAAGTATGCTACCCAAAGCAGCTATGAGAACCCATCTCTCATGTATAGCCCTACGCACTTTCCGTACAGAAGCACTTTGGTGAAAGAAGAGAGAGGATGGAGAGCAGTCGAAGTTTCAAGAAAGTACTCCGAGAAGGCAGACCCTTTTGAAGAGTTTGGTGAAGGAGAAAAGGAAGTGGTTACAGCCATTTCAGCAAAGCCAATTCCACTTTGGATCCTTGGCACTCCTTACGCAGCTGGAGATCGAGCAGACCAAGAAAGCCATGGTCGTGACTACTGGAAGATGGATCTTGAGAAAGGAGAAGTTGTTCGTCACCACGTAGTACCAAGAACTGTTTTGTTCGACCCGACAGGTGTTTCCAATTGTCCTGTCCTGCTTGGAGATCTCGAGAACAGCAGATATACCCAAGGAGACTGTATCTATAGTACAGAAATCTACGAACACAGCGACGACTGGAGAGCAGACCGCCTACCTCTACGTGAACACTTTCGGTTGCCGTGGTTTGGTCAAACAAGGTTTCGAGTTAAGCCAGAAGTTGTTGAAGACCTGAAGGCAGAAGCTGCAGCAGAGGAGCTAAAGAAGAAGAAAGAAGAGCACTGCCAACGGAAAGAGGACTCAGCAGCACCACCAGCAGCAGAAGAGAGCAAAGATGAGGAGATGAGAGAAGCACAAGCAGACCAAGAAGCACCACAAGAAGTTGTTGAAGTTTTGGAGGAAAGCTTCTACCACGAAGGCGTCGAGTACACAGCACAAAGAAGCAGCCTCAAAGAACTACAAGCACTTTGCAGAGAGTACGGAGTCAAGACCACAGGAAGCAAGAAGCAGCTCTTGAAGAGACTCGCCACAGCAGTCAGAGAAGAAAGGCTCAGCACACAACACAAGGAACAACGGGAACACCACCAAGCATACCACTTAGCACCACCACAGGAACCAACGGAAGAGGAGAGAGCGTACCACAACTTGACGCACCTTCCGTATCAGCCTTGGTGTCCCCATTGCGTTGCTATGAAAGCACGAGAAGACAACCACAAGAAAGGATTGAGCAAGCCAAGCAGCTCTACGGATTCCGCGAAGCCCGTCATCAGTTTTGACTTTTGCTATACAAGCACCACAGGAAGTGAAGAGCCACCTGCAGTGACTCTTGTCGCTGTGGACAGCTGGAGTAAGGCAGTCTTGGCAGTGCCCTGCAAGAGGAAAGGAGGAGCAGGAAGCACAACACACCTCGCGGAAGCACTCGTGCAGTTCACCACGCAGCTCGGGTACAATGCCCTCGTTCTCAAAGCAGACAACGAGAACGCAGCCAAAGCACTCAAAGACAAAGTACAGAAGGTACGCAGCAGCCTTGGACTTTCTACGACACTACAGGAAAGCATTCCTTACGACCACGAGAGCAATGGAGCCGCAGAAAGAGCAATACAAACAGTACGGAGGCAAGCGAACACTATTCTCGATGAGCTCAGAGAAAGGACACAGCTTGGAATACCACACGAACACGCAGTAGTAAGCTGGGCGTTTCGACACGCCTGCTGGCTACTCAACAGGTTCGCAGTCAGTAGCTCCACAGGAAGAACGCCACAGGAAGTTATCCACGGATACCCCTACTCAGGGAAGCTTGTACCCTTTGTACTGTTGTGATGGCGAAGAGGTTGAAGATCAAAAGAAAAGGTGACAGGATATGGAACGCAGGAATATTCTTAGGCAAGACAGAGCAAGACACATGGATCGTTGCACAGCCTGATGGCATACATATCACACGCAGCGTGAGACCACTACCAGAACAGTACGACTCCAAGAGAACAAGCAGCATAGAGGTCCATACCTGGAACCTCAACACACCACTCCTTGGAGCAAGAGTACTTCCAGAGAAGAAGAACTTCCTCCGAAGGAGGACGGATTTTTATTCTCAAGTCTTGTTTTTCAACAACTTGGTTTTTCCAACCTTGGTTGTTTTCCATCCTTTTTCATGCTGAACTTTTGCCAAGCTCTGTTGTCCAGTTGCCTTTTCGGCTTCAGTTCGCTTTTCGAGTGAGGCCTCTAGAGTCCCGTCGTTTCTTTCTAGCGAGGTTCGAGCTGCTAACTTCAAGGCTTTAGCTTCGTGCACGGTGCCCCCCGAAGGGGCGCCAGATGGGAACGAGGCCTCTTGACTTGCCTCTCTCTGAGCCCTCCAGTGCCAGCAGTTCCTCTGGCTCCGCCTGGGAAGCAATAAGCTCACATCTCCACTCTCTTCAGCTTGAATGCAACATTGTGGAGAGTAGGGTGCGAGTGCTTGAAGATCGTTTGGAGCTCCTGGAAACTCAGGCACAACAAACTCAGGCACGGGTCAGCTTGTTGGAAAACTTCTTGCGCCTGCTCAGGCTTTGCTGCCGTAGGCTGGCCTAGGAAGGCATCTTTTGCAGAAAACTTTGCAACATGCAGCCTCAGTCTCTTTCTGCTGGGGGCTCCTCGACTTCAGCTTCATCATCAGGCCCAGGGGCTCGCTCTAACCTTCTCAAGAGCATAGATCGTATGCTGCTTGAGTCCAGACACAGTGTCGCTGGCTCCAGTGATCTGGAGCTGCCCTGGGAGTCAGGCATTCTTAAGGAGATATTCTGCCCGGAGCATGCTGCCCCAAGCATTCCGTCAGTGAAATTTCCTTTTGATATTCCCATTTCTTCAGCTTCGTGCCTGGGTGAAGCGGAGAAGCTCGCAAAGCCGGAGCCTCGATCCTGCAGCTTCTTCAAAGCCGTTTCTCAAAAGGTCAGAGTGGTGAAGGCTCCGATCAGCCCTCTTGATAAACGTGAGCTGCTTTGCCAGAGGTTCCATGTGTTGCTTTCGCACTCTTATTCGGGTTCTAGGCTAGGGGGGATACTTGCCAAGGAGTCTTTTGAGAAGGGAACGCAACTTGTCTCGGATGCACTTGGGGGTAAAGCCCTGTCTACCCTCCAGAAAAGGTACGGGCAATTATCCAAGTACGTCACTTGGTGCAACGACACAGGATGCATAGGCTTCCCCCTTTCTTCGGATCTTGTTCGGCAATACACCGAGTTTGCAGTGAAGACCAAAGGGCATGGATCAGTGTCCAGCAACCTTGAGTCTTTCAACTTTGCGATCTATGTCCTTGGTGTTTTCATTAATGAGCCTCTCCGGTCTGACCCGGTCCTGACAGGACGTGCTCGTCGCGAGAGATTGAACAAGCCTCCCAGGAAGCAGGCTCGCTCGTTTCTCGTTGCAGAAGTGCTTCACCTCGAGGGTTTCCTTGCATCCGAATCCAATGCTCTTTTGGACCGGTTTGCCGCTGGTTGCATGCTCTTTGCGATTTTCTCCAGGGCGAGGTTAGGCGACTTGAAGTCCGTGTCAAGGTTCACGCTTGACCTTGCAGAGCCATCTGCAGACTGCGCCGAAGGGTTTTTGGAGTGTTACTCTTATAGCCATAAGACTAAGTCTCTTAGCAATGCGCTCGGCTTCAGGTTGCCTCTTGTGGCTCACGTTAAAGGACTGGGGCCTCGCATCTGGGGGCTTGACTTCTTGGAGGTTGCACGGCAAGTGGATCAAGACCTTCTTCAGAAGGACGATGGTTCCGCGCTGTTGTGTGTGCCCACGTCTGTGGGCTCCTTGCTCAACCATCCAATCAAGAATGAAGCCTTCGTGGTGTGGATCAATGGCATCCTTAAGGATCTCCCCTTCTTCGGAGGTCACTTCACCGGCCACACAGCAAAGTCTACCTTACTTCCTTGGTTGGCCAAATGGGGCGGCTCTGAGGATGACAGGGCCATTCTTGGGCATCACATGCCTAAGAGCAAAAGCGTAGCCACTTACAGCAGAGATCTTCAGGCTGGGCCTTTGAGGGTGCTGTGGTCTCTTCTGTGTGACGTTCGGTCTGGAGCTTTCCTTCCTGATTGCACACGCTCTGGCCGCTTTGTCCGTCAAGTCGATGATCCAGGAGTGGAGCCGGCCCTTGATGCTCTTCCTGGTTTCTCTGATGGGGCCCTCAGCCCTGACCTCTACCTCGGCGCCTTAGGTGAGGTCCAAGAGCCTGTGAGCATGGGCAGCGAGGTTGGCCCTGATGAGGAGTTGGCGTGGTACCGCAACCAAGAGCTGGAGGATGCCGACGTCGATGCTTTCATCAACGCGAGCCGTGGCAGTGAGCTTGAGCCCCGGGGTCTCTCAGACCCTCCGCCCGAAACGGGGGCTTCTGACGATCCCCATGCGGAGGGGGACCGAGATGGCAGTGGTTCAGACTCTGAATCGAGCTCGAGTTCCAGCTCTTCTTCGAGCTCTACAAGTGCTGATGAAAAGGTCCAGGCAGCAAGCGACTTAGCATGCAGATTGAGGCATCACGTCGTGGAGGGATGCAAGCTTTACCAGCATTGCAGGACAAAGACTGTGCATCGCATGCTTGAAAACTCGAGCGATGATAAGTTTGTCTGTGGCAGGCCTCTCACCAAAGACCATCGCCCCTTCAGGACCTTGGTCAAGATCACCGCTTGGGATTGCAAGCAATGCGCTCAGAGAAAGCCGATTAGCAACACCGGCGCCCTTGTCGGTGCGCTTGATGCTGCCTTGGGCAAGCGTTGACATCTCAGTGCGCTGGGCCTTCGGCGTCAAGAAAATTCTTTTAACGTGCTGTGCTAACTTTCCTTCAGAAGGAAAATGGCAATGTGTTGGGCACCTCTCTGCCTAAACCTGACGCGCCTTGTCGGCTGCTGAGAAAAGAAATCGTGACTGGGTTTGTCACTCATCTGCCTCCGCATGCTGACTGTTGCGCGCGGCTTTCCGCCGCTTCCACTGACCGGTGCGACTTCATGGTCGGGTTTGTCACCCTTCTTCTTGTGCGAAGTATTACTTCACTTGAATCTTGAAGAGATCTTCTTATGAGCGGCTTCCCGCTGCATGGGTTTGACACCCATCTTTCAGAAGCTCGGGAGTTGCTTCCGGGAGTTGCTTCTAAAGTGCGTGGCTTTCCGCCACTTCCTCTTCGGAGCATGGGTTTGTCACCCATTACTCGGGAGCAGTCTCGAGAGTTGCTGCTGATTTGTGTGGCTTTTCGCCACTTCCTCTTCGGAGCCATCGCATCGTTCACGAAGCTTGGGCTCTAGGATCGTGTAGTATCAGCCATGTCCCTGCTGAAATCTGAGGCGGCATTTGAAGAACTTGCCACGGAATGTGGCCTTTCAAGTGCACAGCTGCTGATCCTGAAAGGGAAAGGTGTCTCGACGATGTCGTCATTGGCCTATGCTGTCACCACCCCGGGTGTGCAGCCTACGGAGCTTGCCCTTCGTCAGCTTTTGGATACTGCCACTCCTGAAGCTGTTTCAGTTGGTGCCTTATCATCCATTCGACGCTGTGTGTTTGAGTGTCAGACTTGTGTTGTGCAGCAACTTAAGCTCTCAGTCGAAGGGCATGAGGGAGACAAGAAGTACGACCTCCCGCCTGCTGAACGCACCAGCCGCATTGCCGCTCAAAAGACCAGGCTTGTCGGTTTTGAGTTAACCGGCGCGATGGAGTGCGCATACTCCTGCTACACTCTTGTGGGCTCCATGCTTGAAGCCGACTCACCAATTTACTTGGAGCCCCATAGGTTCATCACCAGGCAACAGGAGGTTTGCAGAGAAAAGCCCAAGCGTGAGATCGTGCTCGATGGGGGCACCAAGCTCACTGTTCGTGATCAGCAGAGTCGTGATCGTTGCCAGATCACCAATGAACTTCAGCTCTGGCAGGCTCTTACACGTCGGAGCTTAGCCTGTGACCTTATGGGTGCCATCAGCTTCCAGGTGCAAGAATCTTGGCACCGCTTTCTGTTCGATCGCATGGCTCAGCCTCCCCCTCCGAGGTGCAGCAAAGTTTCCATGGAGCAATTGTTGAGGGCTGATCGTCAGGCTTGGGTTCAGTTGGCTGAGACGGTTAAGACGCTTAAGAGGGATAGTGCTGGCGTGTTGCCTCTTGATGCTGCCTTCCCGGGTCTTCGCACTGACCCTGCTGTCCTGTTCAACCTCCTTCCTTTGAGGTCGCCTGATCCTCCTCAGAAGATCCCGAATCCGGATAAGGGCAATGGTAAGGGCCTTGATAAAGGTATCAAGAGGGACTCTGAAGGCCAGCCTCGCAAAGAGTCCCAGCTTCCTGATGCCCTCAAGAACATTCCAAACCTTAAGAAGAAGACCTCGAAAGGCAAGCGACTTTGTTGGGCATACAACATCAAAGACAGGGGGTGCAGCCATGCTGAGGCTGGCAAAGCTTGTCGCTTCGGTCTTCACTTGTGCATGCGCTGCGAGAAGCCTCACCCCCAGTTCGAATGCCCTGCAGCTTCTGCTTCTTGACTCTCGCGCGAGTCCGGGGAGACCTGCACTGACGAGGCACCTCAGGTACCGGCTCCTTGTGCAAGCTCCCCTATCCCCATCTTAGATGACATTTTTCCTTTGCTGCCTGACAAGGTTGATGCTTCTGCCGAGGTTAAACATCCGGCCGAGGAATTTTCGCTGGGTGTATTGACATCTGGCACCGCTCCTTCGCGCAAGGACGTTTTGCATCTTTCCACACTTCTTCCTCTTCCCTTTGATGCTCCTCAGCCTTCTCGGGATTTAGGTAGTGCCGGTCAATCGTGGACCACGGGTCTGTACACCAAAGGTGGTATCACGGCCCTTCGATCTAATGTAAAATCCTTTCCATTTTCGTCTTCTCTGCTTTTTGCTTTCATCAGAACCATCAGTCCTTCCTTCGAGTGCACCAGTGCTGCTCTCTTTGTCGACTCGCAGACAGCCCTGCATCGCGACAGCTACAACGCGCACCTTCCCAATCTGTTGATTGGGGTCAACTCCTTCTCAGGTGGCCAACTTTGGCTTGAGGGAGAGGGACCTCATCCAGTGACCGATCCTTCAGGTGCCCAACTTCCTGGACAGCTGCACGAGGTCTCCCTCAGTCATCTCACTTTCGATGCTTGGAAACACAGACACTGCACAATGCCTTTTTTGGGGTCTCGCGTAGTGGTAGTCGGGTTCTCGGTTGCTAGACACGAGTCGATGCCTCTGGCTTGTCGCAGTGCTCTTGTATCCTTGGGTGTGCCCTTGCCTTCCATTGAGTGTGGTACCGATGGTGCTCCTGTGCTGGAGCCTCTTCCGCCAACTGTGCAACCCTTCTTGGACAGAGTTAAACTGCGTATCTCTAACCGTCCCTCGAGTGACCTAGCATTCCTTGAAATCTTTGCCAGGCATGGTGGTGTGTGTGCGGCTGTGCGCAGCCTCGGCATGCAAGGCTTTGCAATCAATCGTCATCCCCGAAACACTCGGGCTCCTGTTGTTCCGTTGGATCTTTCCACTGACAGCGGCATTTCGCTTCTGCGAGACATCCTTTCGAAGGATAATGTTGTTGCTGTGCACATGTCACCTCCTTCCAACTTCAGTGACCTTGCAGTAAGCATTTACACGGAGTGTTGCGCCAATGGTCTTCTTTGCTGCCTTGACGCCCCGTGCAGCTCCAACCTTTGGAAACTTCGTGACCTCCGGGGTGCCTGTCCGCAAATCTCCACCCACTACAGTCCTTGCTTCGTGCACGACGGGCTGTGTCAGCATAGGCGCCTGCTTCACAACTTCCCTGCACTGTCAAGCCTTAGCTTTCCGTGTGGAGGGGGATGCAAACCACCAAATCCGGCGTTGCCTTTGTCTTCGTCCCCTGGTCAGCTTTGTGCCATGGCAGCAAGGGCCTTTGCTGTTGAATTGCAACACCAGGGTGCTCGGTTTCCAGCAGCAGAACTTCAGGAGCTTGGGCTCCCGTTGGCACGAGCCGCTCAGGTTGCCTCCGGAAAGCAACCCAAAGGCAAACGTGTTCCGCCTTTGGTCTCTGAGTACAAGTCCATCATCACGGTCACTGGCCCTTCTTGTGCTATGCCCCCGAAGCAACTCTCGGAAGATTGGGCCATTCCTGATAAAGTCTTGTGCAAGCCCTCCTTAAAGCGGCTACCCAAGACCGCCAAGCTGATTCGCACTGTGCCGTCTGCTGGGGGTCCCTGCAGTGCTACTCGACAACTTGGTTCTGATAATTCGGGTTTAGCCCCTTCTGATAGTTCGGGTTTAGCCCCTTCCTCCCCTGTGGACGACTCCTTAAAACCTGGCGCCCTGCTTGATGCCTGTTCGAAGCCTGGCGATGGCCACTCTCTTGGCGCAGCCCCGCATGAGGAGCGAACTTATGGTATCGCGTGGACCCCAGAAGAGTTCGTCAAACAGGCTCGCGGAGCTCTACACCCCAGGCGTATCGAAAATGGTGTGCCAAAGATTTTAAAAGAGACCATTGTGCGATGCGCCCAGGAGTCACCTGCCGACCTTGCCAGGGAACGCACTGCTACGTTGAGGAGGTGGATGCTTACCTCCGAGGAGGCGGCATCCCGTGCAGATCCCTCCGACATGCCCGACCACTGTGCCGCAGTTCTTGGTAAGAAATCTATGAAGGTCTTCAAATCGCTCCTGACTGAGGCCGAGTACCCGGACACAACCTTGACCAAGGACATCTCAACTGGGTTTAACCTTCTAGGCCCCATACCCGCATCTGGAGTCCTTCCCTCTAAGGTTTCCGCTGCCTCGCTTACCGTTGAGGATGTTCGTGCAGCCACTCCCCTTGCCAGGAAGGCCATCCTTGCCTCTACCAGAGAAGGTTTCGACCGCGAGGTGGCTGAAAGTGTTTACCAGCTTACGAAAGATGAGCTTGCGAAAGGGTGGCTTAAAGGACCTTTTAAGGAATCGGACATCCCCCCGGATGCCATAGTCACTAGAAGGTTTGGGATAGTGCAATCCTCCACCGATGCCAAGCTAGGGTCAATCAAGAAGGTGAGACCAATCGATGATTACACGGAATCTCTTGCTAATCTCACAAACAGTGCTAGCGAGACGATCTGCCCTCACGGGGTGGACGTTGTGGTCGCAGCATTGTGCCTTCGCATCAGGTCGGCCCGGAAACTTGGCAAGCGCGAGCAACTTGTTCTTAGGACGATAGACCTTAGAAAGGCCTATAAGCAACTTCCTTTAAGCACTGAAGCTTTGTATGATTCTTTCATAGCTGTGCTTAACCCTCACAGCATGGAAATTGAAATATACCAGACAGTTGTGCTGCCCTTCGGCAGCAAGCCGGCCGTTCAGGGATTCTACAGAACTGCCTTCGGCCTTTGGTGGATCGGAGTCCGGAGCCTGATCCTGCCATGGTCTCTGTATTTTGACGATTTCGTCTTACCCTGCTCGTCCGACGAGCAAAAACATCTTGACTTAGTCCAGTCAACATTTTTCAGGATCGTTGCCTGGGAAACGTCCTCCGAAAAAGACAGTGGTTTTGATGCAGTAGCCAAAGTCTTAGGAGTGCAAATATCCTTGGCTGATTCTAAGAATGGATTGATCTCAGTCCAGAACACCGAGGCCCGCAAACGCGAACTCTGCTCATCCATCGATGAGGTCCTGACCCGAGGCTTTGTTGGCCAAAATGAGCTTCTCTCTCTACGAGGGCGACTCCTGTTCGCCGAGAGTCAAATCTTTGGACGATCAGCTTCGCTTCACATGCGCAACCTTTCGCACTTCTGTCAAAAGCACGGCAGACTTGTGGTTAGTGCTAGCTTAAGGGCCTCCTTGACTTTCTTGAGGGACCGTGTAGTTCTTGGCAAACCAAGGTGTGTAGACTCGAGTCTTCGACAAGTGTATCACGTGTACACTGACGCTTCCTACGACGATCAAGGGGGTGGCCTTGGTGGTTTGGTTTACGACTTTAAGGGTCTGTGCCTTGCCTGGTTTAGTGAAGTAGTCACCTCCAAGGACCTTGAGATCATCAACCCTGATGGTAAACTTACCTTGATCTACGAGCTAGAAACCCTTGCCGCGGTCTTGGGTGCCACCCTAATCCCTAACCTGCGCCACTGTGACATTGTGCTCTTCGTTGACAACGAAGCTTCACTGGCGGCTCTCATCCGAGGACAATCCGATTGCCCTTTCGTGCAGTCTCTTCTCTCCCGCCTCTTTCAGGCTGAAGAAGAGCGTGATCTTGCGATCTGGTTCGAGCGTGTTCGCAGTGAAAGCAATCCTGCAGATGCCCCTTCGCGGGGCGACCACAGTTTTCCCGCCTTTTCCAGGCGGCGCTTCAATGTGCAATCCTTGCTGACCGATCTTTGCGGTTCTCTTCAAGGGGGGGCCTCGCAAGGTACCGATCTGTCAGCTCCCACTGCGAGTTAAAACGAAGACTGTGTCCGAGTGTTGCCTGCCGCATTTGATTATCAATTCGCAAATATATTTGTGATTGATTTTTCATATATCTCATTTATAAACAAGACGCAGAGAATAAGAAGAACTTCCTCCGAAGGAGGACGGATTTTTATTCTCAAGTCTTGTTTTCAACAACTTGGTTTTTCCAACCTTGGTTGTTTTCCATCCTTTTTCATGCTGAACTTTTGCCAAGCTCTGTTTTCCAGTTGCCTTTTCGGCTTCAGTTCGCTTTTCGCCCACCCTCCTCACCCTTTGGCTTTTCGCCTTTTTCCTTTTGCCAGTTTCACTCCTTGTTCTTTATGGCCTACCCCTGCCGTTGGGCCTCGCAAGGTACCGATCTGTCAGCTCCCACTGCGAGTTAAAACGAAGACTGTGTCCGAGTGTTGCCTGCCGCATTTGATTATCAATTCGCAAATATATTTGTGATTGATTTTTCATATATCTCATTTATAAACAAGACGCAGAGAATAAGAAGCAAAGACAACGACCACAGCTAAGCATCCTGCCCCCTGTTGCCGAGGAAGAACGCGAACAGCTCGAGAACGACGAGGCCGCGAGCGACCCTCCGAGTTCGGAGGATAGCAGTGAAGAGCAACAGCAAGCACTTGAAGACAGAGAGGAACAAAGCGAAGGCAGCAGCATGAGTGTGACGAGAGACAGAAAGAGAAGAGCCGAGGTTGATGATGACACCCTTTTGGAGGAACTCAGAGCAGGTGAACCACTCACAGCCTCAGCAGAAGCACTTTCAGCACCAGCTGAACCAAGAACAGAAGCAAGCAAGCACAGTCTTGAGCCTGAGGAACCAAGCTCACCCAGCAAGCTAAGAAAGCAGGTCAACAGAGCAGAGGAAACAGACGGTTACCTCAACATGCCTCATGATGATGAAGTCTACGAAGCAGATGATGAGTTTTTGTACGAGTCGGAAGAAGAAGAAGAGGAGACAGAGAGTGAACCAACGGAAGTTTCTACCAAGGTCCCTGTCGAGTTCTTCGATGAGGAGAAAGGACCACCGAATGTGGATCCAGATTTTCTTCAGAAGTTGGATGATGAAGCTACAGTCAAAGAAATCAAGAGGTTAACAAAGATGGGAGTTATTTCTTTGGTTTCTACGGACCCTCAAGAAGCAACTGAGAACGTACCTCTGGTAGACTCAGAACAAGAACTTCACAAATGGTTGACAACGAAGTTGGTGAAAGATTGGAGGTTCAGAGAAGCTACAGGTTTTGAAGTTGACGAAGCCACAGCAGGAACAACAAAGCCCAAGCAGATTCAAAGATGTTGGCAGCGACGTGCCAGGCTAGTAGCAAGAGAGTACAAGACAGAAGGAAAAAGAGAAGATATATTTTCTCCTGCGACAAGCCCAGGAATTACGAAACTGGTACCCATGCTGGCTCTCGCCAACAATTGGGCGATCTACAGTGTCGACGTGAAGGACGCGTTTCTACAAGTCCCTCAACGAACGCCTTGTTTGTGTCGAGTACCTGAAGAAGCAGCTCACGTTGTACAAGCAATGCAGGAACAACCAGAACGCAACCCTGGAACTTGGTGTTGGAAGCTAGGAAGAGTCTTACCAGGTCAACGCGACGCATCCAGTCTTTGGTCAGACTTTTGTGATGGTCTTTTGGTGGAAGAGAAGTTTGAGCGTTGCACAGCAGTTCCAGCACTTTACCGTCTTCTACGACAAGGAAAAGTGGTTGCAGTCTGCATTGTACATGTAGATGACTTGCAGTTTGCAGGCAAAAAGGAAGTCATCGAACCGATCCTCAAGAACCTCAAGAAGAAAGTGAACTTACAAGTTGAAGGACCTCTTCTGAACGAAGAAGATTACGAGAAAGGATTTTCTGAAGAGACCGTGAAGTTTCTCAAAAGGAAGTACACGTACGAACATCATGAACTACGAGTACATAGCGATAGCAAGTACGTGAAGAAACTCGTGGAGATCCTCAAGCTGGAGAAGAAGAAGGCCAAGAACTCTCCTTGTACACCAGCCAGTCAGGAACCTGACGTATCCCAAGAACTGGACGAGGAACAATCGAGAACTTACAGAAGTTGTGTTGGCATTTTGCTGTACGTGGCACACGACCGTCCGGACATCCAATTCGCAGTACGCAGCTTAAGTACTGCTATGACAAAACCGACAGAACGCAAAAGAAAGGAACTGGAGCACTTGGCGCTCTACCTCAAAGGTCAGCAGAAGCAGAATACATGGCACTTACAGGAGCAGCAAGCGAAGGAATAGGTTTGCACGCAGCAGTTCGTTTCCTTACAGGAGAACGAGTACTACTCAAAGCATACACGGACAGTTCCGCATGCCGCGGAATTACAAACCGCCAAGGAACAGGAAGAGTCAAGCACTTGCAGATCCGTTTACTTTGGTTACAAGCAGCAATACGAAAAGGCAAGCTTACAGTACATGCAGTTGGTACAAAGGAAAACACAGCAGACCTAGGAACAAAGCCTCTCAGCACGAAAAGAGTGAAGTTTCTCCTGAACATGATCGGCATGTGCAACAGCGAAGGAAGAGTTGGAGAGCAAGAGCGAGAAGAAGAAGAAAAGGCACAAGTGGTGAGAAGACTCGAGAAGATCATGAAGAACAAGAGCAGCATGTTGTTTGCACTTACAAGTTTGTTTGCGAGAACTGAGGCAGCTTACGTACAACACGTACCTTTCGCCGCAGCTCAAGAAGTAGCAAGCTCAAAAGAAGTCCCAAGCAGTCCTGGAAGCATGTCGCTTCTGGAAGTCCTAGTGACGCTCGCCATGGTGTGCATGGCGGCGGCATACTTTGTCGTCAACGAGATGAGAAAGCCGCAGAAGCACAAGAAGTCTAAGAAAGAGGAGAGAAGCAGCAGTGAAGAAGAAGAAAGCAGCAGCTCAGAAAGCAGACGAAGAACCGAAGACAAAAGAAGGAGGAAGAAAGCAGAGAGAGAAGCGAGGACTGAAGCTCCTGCCGCTCAGGTGAACTACGACGTGGACTCCTTCGACGAGGCAAAGAAAGAAGTGACAGAGAAGACAGAGAAGTTGAAGAGGGTTGAGGAAAGCCTGGAGAAGGAAAAGGAGGAGTTCAGGAACCAGAAGGCAGAGTTTGAGGAAACAGTGAAAAGGTTTTTGAAGAAGCAGAAGGAGGTGAAGGAAAAGGAAGACAAAGTTACAGAGAGAGAAGAGAAGTTAGAGAAAGACCAAGAAACCCTCCAAGAGCAAGCCAAGGCCTTAAGCGAGAAGGAGACAGCCCTTGAAGAAGCTGAGGAGAACGTCAAAGCAAAGGAAGCAGAGGTTGAGAAGAAGAACAAAGAGGCAGAGAAGAGAGAGAGAAAAGCTCAGGAAAGAACCGTCGGCTACGACCAAGAGAGAGAAGAGTACGCCAAGAAGTACGTGGACGACGCAAAGAAGGACTTGGAGAGAGAGCTTTCAGTACTAAAGCAAGAAGAGAAAGTAAGGAACCAAAAGCTCGACGACCTCCAGTACGACTACAAGAGCCTCAAGGACGACTACCAGTACTTCAAAACTTACTCGCAGGAAGTGGACGCACTTCTACTTGCAGCTAAGGACAGGATCGTGAAGTACAAGAAGAAGGTCAGAAGCCTCAAGGAAACCATAGGTGCAGTCTTGTCAGGAAGTGAAGGTGAAGAAGAGACAGACGAAGCGTACAAGACCAAAGCAGAGGAAGAGAAAGAGAAAGCAGAGGCTAAGGCAAAAGAAGAAGAGAAGAAGAAAGGAAAGAAGCCAAAGCAGGTAGAGACAGAAGAGCCAGAAGAGAAGCCCTCAAGCAACCAAGGAGACGAGAACACCTTCGACCCGAACGACATAGCCGAGTTCACGCAGCTTGGTTACGTGTGGGAGTTCAACAAGAAGACGCAAGAGTACCGCGCGAAGTGCGAGGACAAGAAAGGAGCCGCAAGAATCAAGAACGCTCCGGTGAAAGGCCGCCTCCTTTGGAACAAGGTGACGGAGTGCTACAGAAGGCACAACGCTTGGTTTACAGACGGAAAGGAATTGGATAAATTCCTCGAGACCAAGGAGAACGAGAAGATCGAGGAAGAGGTGCAGCGACGCATCCACGCGAAGGGCAAGTACGACAACCAAGGAACGAAGGGAAAAGGCCCTTCCTGGGACGACGGACAGAACGACAGTTGGTGGTACAACGAGCAGTGGAACAACGAGAACTGGAGCACCACCGACGACGGCAGCAACTGGTACGAGAACGCGAACCCACAGAACAAAGGCTACTGGCAGACGCCAGAAGAGTGGGCACAGCAGAACCAGTGGGAGCAGTGGACACCCAAAGGAAAGAGCAAAGGCAAGAAGTCCAAGAACTGGGTACAGACCCAGTGAAACGATCCCGAGAAGGGATGATCGAGAAGGTCAAGCAGTGAACGCTTGTACATATGTACATAGCTAAGCAACGTAAGACTTGATGTATATTAGCACAAGAATTCATGTACAAAGTGTGAGCAAATGTATAGACGTAGCAAACTGGGGCAGTAAGCCTAGGTAAGCTACAACCTTCCAAAGTCTCACAAGAAGTTTCACACGAGGCAGGTTAGGAAGGTACAAGGGCCAGAAGAGGCAAGAAGCCGGAGAAGCCAAGAACAAAGAAAAGAAGCCCGAAAGAAGAAAAGCCCGTAGGCTACGTAAGGGCAGAAGGAAACCGGGGTACGGGCCTCCCCGCAAAGAGTCCATAGGCTGGACCTAACTAGAACGTAGCTGTACATACAGAGTAGGTTTTTCAGGAAGGCCAATGTACAGACATAGAAGGCCTAAGTAGCAACAGGGCAGGAGTGCAGCTAGGTAAAAGACCAGGAAGAACGGAGACGAAAGTCCCTAGCAAAAGCACTGTACAGAAAGCCCTAGCAGTTTCCAAGAACACCCTAGGAACCCGCAAGAACTTTCTGAGGCGGGGTGTTCGTTTGTAACCTAGTGCACGTAGTCCCAAGTAGAGTGTGTAAAGTAATCACGAGAACACATGAAACATGTGTGTGAACCGCAACACGGAGGCTTAAGCAAGTCAGCCCGCGAAGTGAGAAAAGTGTGTTTGTGAGTAGAGTGGGAAGGAAGGCTTGAGAAGCCTTTAGTTTCAACAATTTCGCAGACGTGGTTCACGGGAGAACAGCAGCAGCAAATCAGGTCCGGTGCCCAGGGCGACACAGTTGCTGAATCGTCCGCGGTTACTTGGCAGGACTTTGACATCGCCATGACCGTTCCCGAAGCCTACTACGACAACAGGCACTACTGGTTCCGGATCGACACCTACGCAACCGCAAAAACCGGCTACGTCAAAGGGAGAGCGTTCTATTGCCCTGGCTGTGACGCAATGAAATTGGCTGAGTGCTACGCACAAGCCTTCTTCAAGCCGACGGGGAACGGGTATCCTGGACACTGCATTGGGTGCGCACACACTTCAGCTTTGAAGGTGCAGCATCACATCAACTCCTTCAACGACTTAGTCGCGTCCCAGAAATACACCTTGGCGTGCGCAAAGCACCTCTATGACTTGAGGCTTCAGTTTGTGGACCCTCGCATGGACATCAAGGAGTTCCTCAAAGCGTGTGCGGAAGTGACCTACGAAGACATAGGCAAAACGGTTTCTCACTACGGTGGTCTCCGGATTACAGCCAGTCAGGCCATCGAGTACGCGGCATGGGGAAAGGCCAAACAGTTGGCATGGGACAGAGGATGCGATTCCGAAGGGAAGACATGCTACATCTGCTACTACGATGCCGGGAACTGCCCCTACGCTGGATTCATGAGAATGCTTTTGACTCCGGAAGAGCGCCAAGAATGCTACAGAGGGTCAGCCTTGCCCAAGGAGGAACTCTTGGGCGACACGATGGAGCTGGCACTTGGGCTTCTTACGATTGCGATGAGGTATCCAAATCATTTCCCGAATTGGGGTGGCCTTGAAGGGGCAAATGCGTGCGTGAGGGGGATCGAAAGATCATTCTTCCGCTATGCGTCGGCCGAGGCTATCGAGCTTATCACGGTTGACTCCCCACGCAAGAGGACACCGCCCAAGAAGAATGAACAAGTCGCTGAGATCGTCAACAACTTGTCCGCTGACCTCGTGATTGATTTCACAGGGATCGTCGACGGTGATGTCTACCCCGTAGAAATCGCAAGGACCGACGAGACACAGGCCGCTGACAACGTCACGGGCGATCCGGGGGTCTCTGTTGCACCACCAATACCTACACAGGACGTTGATGTGGACGCACAACCTGAAGAAGAACAGGGTGCTGAAGAACCTGATCCCAGGCAGATGATTCGTGAAGGACTCGTCGCGCAGCTTCAGGACTATGTGGGAATACTTGCTCAGGGCGAAATGTCGGTCGGGAGCAATAGTTTCACGTTCTGCGTTGCTTGTGGCAGTGAATCACATCATCTGTCCGATTGCACGGAAAACGCTGCAACACGAGATCTGGTACTTCGAAGCATTCAGGTCATCAAGGACAGTCTTCTGTCTTCGCTATCCACGTCGACCACCTGCACAACAAGCGGAGCCAATGGACGTTGATACCACAGACCATGTGAGCGTTGCTTCCTCGGACCGACGACCCAAGGCCAAAGCCCGACCGCGACGCGGAGGCGAAGCCGTTCGGGGTGATGTGGTCTTGATCCGTTACGAGAACAAACACAACCTTTGCACGGAAGTGGAGAACCGTCGAGGCCTACATGACGCTTGTGGTGTACCGCTACGGGACATGGGACCCGAGAACAGTCAGCGGGTGGTGGATCTCATTGAGCAGCTTTCGGACCATCGTGACCGACGACTGCCTCAACGAGGAGATCGTCCAAGCTTCGAGTATGATGAGAATACTCAGGAATGGGCAAACCCAGGCTACGAATCCATCGGCGGCGGAAGGCCAATCCGATGCGGAATTCTTGACCTGGTCCCGACCAAGGGTGCAAGCTTCATCAACAACCGATGGGACATCGTGAATGAAGTTGTCCTTCGCAACATCACCCATCATCGAAGAAAGAACGCAGATTGGGCGCTATCATGCATTCAGTCTGACTTGCGTCACAGAATTGCCAGGCGCCCAGGTTCAGAATGGCTTGACAATAGGTGCCAAGTGGCGTTCAACAGCGTCATTCGATGTGATGAAGGAGGGTGGGTGCTGATCGAGGACTTGGTGAGGCAAGAGCAACTATGGACCCATGAAAGCAGACGCATCACCGAAGCGGTCTCAAGGACCGACGAGTACCAAAGGAAGAGAGTGTACAATGAAAGACTGCAGCTATTGTTCCAAGGGGATATGCTTGCAGCCACGAAACGCCACAAGGCCAAGATCCGGCTACAGTTCCTGGGTGTGAGAGTGAAGAACCCCGGCACAGAGACTCTTGGGTCTGCGAACTCGAACATGTTGGTGTCAGTTCCAGATCAGATCACAGAGATCCAGAACAATGACCGTTGCCGACACAACCAGAGGTACCTGAATGTTTGCAACGGCTGGGTAAAACCATGGGCCGTTCGGGCCACAAGTGGTCACTCTACGCACTCCGATCCCCAGAACAACTTGCTCCAGTTGGACAAGGACAGGTTCGCAATATCTCCGTCTATGACCCTCTTGACACGTCTCGGGGGCGCGTTCCACGCTACGGCATGCCGCAACTTGGATTCCATTGTTCTGCAAGGCATCATGCCTGGTTCGGAGGATCCCGACGGGGACTTCGACCATCGGCGTCAATTTCGGGACAACCGAGGCGGCAGACTCCACAGTTACTGGGGGGTGTTTGCACCGTTCGACAACCGGAACGCGACGACCAAAGCTCGGGTACACGGGCCGCAAGCCAAGCACATGCCACTTGTGGTCCTCCATGTCGCTTCGACAGATCTTGCCCGAGAGGGTGGACGTATCACAGACAGCGGTATCATCATCGTTGGTCGAACGATATCGTTCCAGTTCGTGAAGGAGGTATGGTTTTGCGTCCCGAATCCTCAAGATACACATTCTTTCGCTCTGGTGGAAAAGATCTATGATGAACGATTGGAGAAAGAGATGGTGTTGGACTACTATGGATCACCATTGCTCCCTGAATTCGAGAGATATCGAACACCAAGCAAGATCATGGAACTGCTTTGCGAGATGCCTCCTGGACCCCACGACACAAGCAAGGAGCAGATAATGCGAGAGCTTACCACTGTCTTGGAGTCCCACAGGGAGAACACAGTTCGGCATCACTATATGGACAAGGGCATCGAGTTTGTCATCAAGAACTGGCGACCCGAAGATCTACGAAGAGATGAGGATGGCAGGAGAATGAGGGTGTGCCCGGCGTGCTACAACATTGTTCCAGCATGTTTTTCTCGATGTACATCCTGCTGGTCACAATTCGTTTCTTGCGGATACTACCAAGGTACTCCACAACGGGAGACTCCTACGGAGATCCCAAGTGACTTCATTGCTCAGACAATGGAGGCTGCAGCAGCAGCAGTACCCGAGGCAACCGTCGAGGAACAGGAAGCCATGGAGACAGAGACGGTTGCGGAACCTGAAGGAATTCCGGAACCATCTGTCGTCGGGGAAGACGATCCAGAACAGGAACCTGATGAAGAAATGGACACGGAGCCAGGAGAGGACTTTGATGACGAAGTACCAGATGCAGTGGCACAGGAACGACGTCCCGTCCTCATCGCCGGCCAGTCTTTGAACATCGACCCTGAGCTGCAGCTCGCCCGCGCCGCCATGCAGCCGTCCTACTACCCCGGAAAACGAAATGCCCATTGCATCGACGCCAACATGGCTGCTCTTTCGTATATGGCATTCGTGGTGTGCAGAACCATCTACAAAGCTTGGTCAGGATTCGCGAAGTGGGCGATTATGCCGTTGTTTCAGATGAAAGAGAATTTCGCACATGGCCAACGCTATGATGTGCTCGGCAAGTGGGGAACATTGGCTGAAGTGGACAGAGAAACAGGTGTGAGTAGGGATGTGACTGATGAGGAGATCATTCGCTTCGCCAAGGAGCCTGAGAACCTCAAGTCGTATGATCCCAACGGGACTTACACTTTGAAGCGCTTCCGGACGAACCAGATGCTCTCGTTACTGACGCGGGGAGCCAACATGATGGGAATCGGCAGGGGCAACTTCAATCCTACCACGTACTTGAAGAGTGACAAGGATGAAGACGTGAAGGCGATGCACTTCTGTTGCCTGAACGTCCTTTGCGAAGTTATCCCGATGGTGACAGGACATCAACAATTTTCGGTACTACGACCTACGCCAACTGGACCGGTGGACTTCCTGTACATCGACCCGGTCGGCATCCTCTTGACTCACGCTGATCATTCAGTCCAGACCATTGGATTGCTGGTGGACCACAACGTGCAAATG